CATCTTTTCTACTAATATCCTGCCATTTTTACCTCATTTTTCTTTCCTTAGTTATTTTACTCTTGGAATATCACTAACAGTTTCCCAAATACCTGCAATCATGTCATTAGGTAAGAGTTTCTCTCTCACCTTGGTTTGCTTCTACCCACAATTTGATACCTGAAATTGCTTAATTGTGACAACAGAAAAAAGCTATGCCCCTGGTGTCCAAATAGTTATACATTTTTCAGATGTACTCCTTAAACTAGTAGTAGTTTTGGCACATACATTACTCCTAAAGGAAGTTCCATTTCCCCAACTATTCTTTTACTGAAGAAATACTTTGATATGCATTCTACATCTGTGTTTCTAATAATGCACAAAAGAAATCACATTAATGTGATTTATCAATGAGAAAATCAGTTTGAGTCATGAGGAGGATTCAAACATGCACCCCTGGGTACTCCCAAGCCCACACCTTAAATCACTGGACTATGATATCCTGCAAGTAATGTAATCCGAGACTCGACATCTCTAGGGATTTCCGAGGCATCAAGCTAATACCAAATCCTATGCCACACCAGCATTTGCAGGTAATATGAAATCTTTATTTGGTATTAGCTCAGGACCCCTAAAGGATTCAGTCGAATACCAGGTTACCTTACTTATAGAGTATCGTGGTCCAGTTGTTTAAGGCATTTGCTTGGAAGTACCCAGAGAATTTGTTGGTAAAAAGTGCACATTACATGAAGCCACTACTACACATCATTTCAGGCATAATTTCTTTATTTTGTACTCATTTCCTCTTTGCTGAGATGTGCAATAATAAGTTTCATCAACTATCTGCAACCTTCTTATTTTGTATGCGATTGTCAATATTTTCCCATCTCTAGTTTCACCAGAATCTATTTAATAAGATAACTAACTTTAGTTTAGCTACATGGTAACACTAGTTCCATACCACAGCTGCCTAGTCCAATCTCAGCACCACATAATGAGTAAATTAAAAGAAGGGTCCTGGTAGTGCAGTCGGGCTTGTTCTTGACACACAATCGAGAATTTCACGTTCGAATCCCAGGCGGGACAGAAATGCTCAGGCACATTTCCGTTCACCTAATGGCTCTGTTCACCTAACAGGAAGTAGGTACACAGGAGTTAGTCAGCTTGCTGTGGTGTTTCATCCTGGGTGGGGTAAGTTATTCAACCTTTGGGGGAGGACCTTGATAAAACACTAACGTGTAAAAATACACTCAGGCTTCCTGTCCCCTGACAATGAATTATTATTATTTTAACACATTTCTGATGCTCAATTTCTGCAATATAAAAATGCAGAGCTTTCCAAGACTTCAGATTTGTCCCCTTGAAGTGAACTAAATATTAGTACTACACTAGAAAATATTCTACAGGTTTGCCAGTCAAAGAACATGAATTACAAGTGTCAGCTGAAAGGTGCCCACCACACTGTGTGAGGTTATTTACCTCCATTTATATCCGAGTGACGGGATCTGTAATCGTTAATCTGGTGAATGAGATTTTTCCTTGTTAGTGTATTATCACTCTTCCCATGTTTAAATAAATGCACTTTGCACTTTGATTGTGTTTCGAGTCCCGCCATTGCAAAAATACAGTACCGGTCCCATGCGGTCACTCATGTTTGACGTGTTTATAAATGCACATCGATTCTACATCCCTGGTTTAAAGGAACATAGCTACACAGTATTATAAGCAAGAAAGGATGGGTTTTGAGAGTTCGTACTCTAGAGTATGGCTTACCAGTTTGTGCCCTTACAATTGGCTATTTCCTTATCTAAATCAGAACCACTTCTTGTGGTATTCCTGAGAAAAACCAACAAGGTCTACAAGTGTTGTAAATCCCCCCCCCCCTCTCCATGTTTGCAGACCCATTACCACAGTGACATAAGAGGCCTTGCCTGGTATAAATGGAATTCACATTTATAGAGTATTCGTATGTCCTAGACTTGCCAGTAGATTAACATAATACAAAGCTAGTTAATTTAGATTAGTTATTATAACCAATGGAATTAGTTACTGGAAGGCTAGGATGGAAAAAACAACACCAGTTGAGCCAAGTGCATAGTGCTTATATAGATGGATGATTGGCAGCGAGCAGGCAGCAATAGGTGAGCAGCCTAGGATTACAAGAAAATAAAATTTGGTCCTAAATACACATACAAAACATACAGAAAGCAAAACACGCATCACACGAGAACACACCCAACGAACTAAGAGACTCGGGTTTACATGCTACCAGCTTATGTTTGATAGCACCACTGCCTCATTCCCTGCAACAACAGATGAACACGGGGCAGATATGTTGCCTTTTATTCCATCACTAATGCACATGCCATCTTAACCCTCATTACACCCCCATGATTACACCCCAACTTTCGGCCACCAAACATCTGCTCCTAATGTTCCTGTCTCCCAACTACACTTTCTCATCTGTACACTTTAATTGTATGCATAGCCCTATTCTCATTCTAGATATTATTTCACCACTTACATTCCTTTGTGTGTTCTCTGGCATGTTTTTGGGTGTGGCATTACATCTTTTAAAATATGCATAGAGGCACCATGCTTTGATTCCAAGAAGCTGGTAATGTCTGTGGGCACTAACTCACCAATTTTAATTTTGGAATGTTGTGTCTACCTTGTGCGTGCTGCCTAACCCTACACTACACCACATTACTCAATTCTGAGCCACAGTATCAGTTCTGTTAGCCTCGCACTCAATGTGCTCTTCACAGCTCTGATGTCAAGTCTTTATTAACGGCAAATGATCACAATCATTAATAGAACATTTTAAACAAAATTATGCTACTGTATTACAAAACTTTCAAGGCCAGTAAGTAAGTAATGTTTCATACAATTAGAAAGCTATTGTATTGTAGCAATGCAGTACTAACATTCCTAATTCATACTAAGTAGGACATACTGGTAAGGATCCACCACAAGATTATTAATTTAGGGGAAAATTTTAATTGCATGAAATGACACTATTGTCACATAATAAAACCTTACTTGTACTATTATTTTTCTCAAAAGTTAGTTTCCCTTACAACACAAGTATTGTATATTACCTTGGGCTTTACATATTGCCCAGAAACAGCACAATAAAAGAATTACAGTACAGTACTAAAGTTTATCATAATAAATATAAGAAGTTGAATAATGTAGAAAATAAAATTTAAAAAACACAGTACAGTACATTTACATTCAAACAAATTTCGTTTCTGACAATTTTAAGTCATCAGTAACACTTACGGTAATAGAAGATGTCGGTTATCACGAGTATTATGATCCTAAGGGTGTAAACACCACCAAATGCACATTCTGCACCATTGTAAGATTCTGCACCATAAGACTCAAGTGAGCGAAGATCACTGTAAGGCAATAAATATGATTGCATTGTCCCACACAACCACACTCTTATGCTTGTAACTGACATTACAAAAATATGAAAACCATTATTAAAATTCCTCGTTAAGTATTTTGCCAGTTATCAACATTGATTTAGTAAATAAATTTAGTTGCAGCAACTGACGTAACTAAAAATGCCAATGTGAACCACACTGATCTTCTGCAGCACTTGTTTGGTTCGGGTAAAGCTTCATTATAAGAACGTAAAGTAATAAGTTATATTAATATACTTTTTGTGAAACTAGTCATTATAAAAATACAGTTCATACATATTCATCATATATTATACAATGTGCAACTTCAATTCACTTAATTCATAATGCAATAAATATTTGCGCTACAGAAATAACCTATTTGGAAAATGCACTACAGTACTTTGATTATTACTGTAGTGCATTTATGGAAAGGGCATAAAACTAAAAGCCTTATCTAAGTGTAAAATTAATAAATAACTTCTAACTACATGTGAATTCGAAGCCTTACCCAGAAGAAAGGGGAGAGGATCAAGATCACCTACCCGTACATAGTTGTTGGCTGGTGTGTATTTGTAGCTGCTAAGGTAAAAACTGGATAGACTAAAAATTCTCTTTAGCATATTCACTTATTATTATGATGTGATGCGTGACACCAACAAAGGCTGAAGTTGAGAATACTAGAAATAAGTGATGGCTTGTCGACCAAGAATTGAGGGATGTGTCTAGTGGATTTTCAGGGTATTGGAAGTAAATGGTAGAAAGGTTTTCTCAAATGATGATGCTCTTCTAGATGCAAGATTACAGTCTACTTGCATGGTTTGTCAAGATATGACGTTTTACTCTAATTTCTGCACTTTACGGAAAAAAAAGTCAAGCATCATAACTTTCCTATATCAATGATAACTTCAGGAAGATCAAATGATGACAAAAATGCCTTAGCAGAAGATGAATGAAATACATGGTTTGATATTTAAAAGGCCAGAAGAATTTAATTGCATATGATGAAATTGCATGAAATTGTTAAACTCTTAGCCTTTTTAATATGTACCTCATAATTAAACAAAAGATGAACAAGAATATACAGGGGTACCTCGGTTTAAGAGTTTAATCCGTTCCTGGAGACGGCTCGTAACCCAAAAACTCGTAAACCAAAGCTAATTTCCCCATAAGAAATATGTAATGGGAAATTAATTAATCCGTTCCCGACTACCCAAAAACCTCACTTCAAACTAAATTTTATACCTAATTCATCGAAATCTACACTACAAAACTATGTTCAAGTTATTACTTACCCTTGCTGATGACTGCTGTTAGCGTATGGAAGATGGTGAGGAGGGGGAAAGAGGAGAGGTGTTACTGTTTGGAAGGGGAGTCTCCTTCCATTATAACATCAGGCGGTGAGGACTTCACTGGTGTGCACACACTGGCACGTTTTGCCTGCATACCATTAGAACCTGCTTGTGGCTCACTGCTTGCTTGTCTTACTAAGAATCTGTCTAAAGACTTGTTTTTTCCCACCATTTTAACACTTGTCTCTAGTAAAACATCACATTGTCATTTAAAAGGTCAATGCAACGGCCTGCTACAGCTTTATCTGGGTGAGTTTTTTCAACAAAACTTTGCAGTTCTTCCCATACTTCACACATTTTCTTAACGAGGAACGGACATCCTCTACTCAACTATTTTCTTAAGTTGAACCTTACCACTGGCTTTCTTGGGACCCATTGCGAGATATATAACTACTTTTATGTTCGAATGGCCAAATATCCAACAAAACACTGTAAATCCCGGGTGAATAATTGAGGCGGGATAGTCACCGTGTGCAAAGCACTGGTAAACTGAGCGGCGATCACCATGCCACCATGCTCTAGTCAGCCCGTACGCGTATCAACACCCTCGTAGTCTGAGGCAGCCCTCATATCCCGATACAAATTTTCCGAGCAAATCTTGCTCGTAACCCGAAAAACTCTTAACCAGGGGCACTCTTAAGCCGAGGTACCACTGTACAGTCTAAGCAATAACCAAGAGTATAGTTTGAAAGAAGAATCTGTTCAGCTGCACTTTAATTGGGTAAATTGATGCCTAATACAGTTCAACTAATGGCAAAGAAATTTGTATAAAGGATAACATCGTGCATAATCTGTTAAAGGTTAAATCTAATTATTCATGCATCATATCTTAGACATAATACCAGAAAGTAAAATCCCTTTTTTGTGAAATATTCAGCCACTTCTAATGCAGAGGAGGAAAGCTGGCAAATTTAGCTTTCTTTGTGGTACCGAGCTAAGTGCAGCATTTACTTGCTTAATTCAAGTTATCGAATTTTATCACTTGGAGGCCAAGACGTATCATTTAATCTTCCCGATGTTCAATAGATGCTGATATCATGCTACCGATAGTAGAGAGGCATTTAATACTGGTTTGTGGTGTACCTTATATTAGCAGGCATGTGGTTATGATTCACAAAATTACTGCAAGAAGAAATGTCTAGCAATAATCATTTTATCAATATTATGTAAAAATGGAAGAGTTTATTTATAGACAAATTAAATTAGTATTTACATAACCCTGTATAAATAACAAGAAATGATTCTAGTGGCAGCTGCTTTATGCCAAGTCAGGATCTCTATCGTGGACAGTCTGGTCCCTCCATCCCTAATGTGCTCACACACATTACTTGATCAACTACGAAATCTACAAAAATACAGATAAATATAAAAGCATAACATGATGATTATCTTACAATAAAAAGAGAAGATGGAGTATACAGTATTTACATATTAGCTATCCCAGGACACTGTACACAAAGGGGGGGGGGAAACAGACATAAGTGCTACTCAGAGGGACACATGACCTCATGCTACTCATGTGGACACATGACATCTCATTAGTTGTAAGAAAACTAAATTCTCTTGGATTTGGCACCTCATAAATGGATGCAAGTTCATTCAGATTATCTAAGCCTATACGAGATTGACATGTATTTAAAAATAATGAATATGGTGTAGTCATCAATGCCTATAAAGAAATTTCCACATGGTTAAAAAATCCTAGAAAGTTATTACTTTTGACATTACCATTACAGTACAGTACAGTATATTGAAAAACTGGATATGTTCAGTCCATAGGAAGTCTACCTATTTACATTACATCATAACTGAATTCTTCACAAGACTATATACAAGCATGAAAATGGAAGCATTAACAGAGACAAGATTTCTGCATGGTAAGAAAAATAACAAATCTATTTCATGCAATAATTTACAAACTGATTAATTTACAAAAGCTTTTCGAAAAATATTAAATATATTAACCATATCTAACTTGTCAGAAGGCAAAAAATACTACAAAGTTATGGTTTTTTAAGTCATTGGCAACTACATTTTTAAGAAGTCTGTCTCCAAGAAAATAGTTTCCTCGATCAATTTTTGTACTGAAAGAAAAACAAAAACACACAAATTTAAGAGTAGAAAGGGGATATTATTTACCATAAGACACTTCTCTTCAGATATAAACTTTTCCTTCACAGAACTAAATGTCAGGGCACTAGAATTGCTCTTAATGCTTCCTTATGGTTTAGTAATAAACAGAAATATCGGATGAAAACCTAATTAATTATTCAAGACTAACATTTAGATCAACCATTGCATTTAATATAAAAAATGCTTAGGGTGGAGATGAACCCTTCCAAATAATTAATTACAAATGTACTTCACCAAATCATGAACATTTGCACTAAAACATCCCTTTTCCTTCATGTTGCTTGCTATACTTAGAATTTTTATTACCAAACATGAAACAAATGATTTGGGAATGTACTGTAATTTTTATACCTATACTGTGTGCTCAAGATATTTAATTGAAAAATGTACAGTACATTAATTCAATCTTAAGAATACAAATTTAATTAAAGTATATAAGAAAAGTGTGTTAAAACACGCCTGCAAAAATTATTTTTTTTAAATACAATATACAAAGCTTAACTTAAATGGAACCCTATTAACTTTATTTGGAAGCTCTTACAGTGCCATGTAAAGACAAAACTATCCTAAACTTATTGGAAAGAAGGTCTCCTCTCAGATCATTGGCATACACACATTCCAAATCCCTGAATATTGTAAAGTCACTAAACAAATGTGAACTGCAGTAAGTCTTCACACATGTGACATTTATTAATGGAAATCATATATGGTTTACTACAACTTCAGTTATCTTTTTGTCCATTTTTAAAAATTAACAAGATCAAAAAGTCTAAAAGTTATATAAAATCTTTTCGAGCAATTATTTTAAATAGAATGGCTCTGAAAGTGATGATCAATGATTAATGGACACATTTACCATTCACAAGACAATAGCATCTCTGAAGATGATGAAAACTGAAAATCGATTGCTCCACTAGGATGATAAACCCTGGGTATCTTGCAGGTTTTATGATAGTCTTATAATAATTAGTTTGGTCATGATGCTATCCTTGATAACTTTAACTGGACATTCAGTGTTCAGTTGGTGCAAAACTAATTTGAACCATGGTTGCTGCCCTTAAATTAAGATTTCTTGACTGAATGAGTGTGGCAATTTAATCGTCAATAATCAAAGGCTTCATAAACTCCCTTTGAACATCCTTTATTTTTTTAAATAACTGCTCCAGATAACCCCACTGATATCCCAGAACATTTGGCAGAATGGCAAGGACTTTGTTAGTACTGCACTTGTGAAGCAAGTCAGAATTAACTTGCCGAAAACTCCCCTTCCATCACTAGCACCAGAAAGGGTACTCATTAATATACTGAGATAAAGCTGGAGGGAGGCATACAGTACTATATGAGCGGTGAAATGACTGGTTGATCGCCAAGCGAGACAGATGCTTGAGAGTTGGAACTGTCCGTTTGAAAGGTTGCCTAATTGTGATTGGGGAGTACATTTTACCCTCTGCATCAACCCAGACATGCCTCTGCAGCTTTCGATTTAATCGAATGTAATGTTCAATAAGGGTGATGACATGGGAGAATCCGGGGACTTTTGAAGCCATATGTGACTCACAGTCAAGGCGAAACTTGCCACCAGTGTAGTGGATCCTAACACTAGTGGGCCCGCGTTCTGTCTGAACACTGAGTGAGTAGAGGAACCTGGTGTCTGCAGAGTCCCGAACAATAAAAGTGCCTAAGCTGGTGCTCTGTAACAGTGTTTCTGCTTCACGCCAAGATAACCGCTCCCAATACCATCCACTCTTTGCTAGAGCTTGCCTTGTTGCACTCAACACATGATCATCATCCCAATCTCTCACACTGCTGAAACTGTCTCGGATGTCTCCCAGAGTCCTCTTAATACCTGCACTCTCATCAACTATGCCCCCTCCAGATGTGTGCATGCGTGTCGTTACCGTATGAGCTGACATCTGACCTCCACTATCTGGCCACCTCCACATTCCACTGCATGCCCCCCTGCAGGTCCCCTGCGTGTGCGCCGTCGTGTGACATGCCATGTGGCACTGACTGGGACAAACTACAGAACTTGCCATCTGTACAGAGGGAAAATGGAACATGTGTCCACTGACATGAGGTGTAGCCAGTGGTGATGGCTGGTGTGTGCTGCCGACACTGAAGGAAACAGGGCCTAGAGAAGAACCCATGAAGAGGGTACCGGGAGGCGCCGAGGCCAGGGAGGCAGTGTTGGATGGTGGACTCGGGCAGTGCTGCAGGGAGGGTGGTAGTAAAGTCATCCCACAGCAGGAGTGGGCTGCCAGCACATGGTGGCAGTTGGGGCACGTCAGCATATTGGCAGCACCTGCAAAGAGATCACCTATAAATGTGTCATTCGAAGTGTTTCCCCCCCCCCACACACACACCTTTTATGTTCTCTTAAGAAATTTTTTTTGCATATAATTTATATATATTCAGTATACTGTACTATTTCCTTTTTATTGACAAAGAAATGTGTAACCTCATTAGCAAAAGAACTGTCACAGTAAACAAAATACAACTCTGGAATAATGTGGGCAACCTTTGACAAGCCGCCGCGGCTGCTTCTCACCAACGATGACACTTTAGATGATGATCCTGTGATGAAAAGTGTAAGTTTATTACATTAAAAATGTTTCATTTCTATTTGTATGAGCATGAAATTGCTACAGAGTTCTTAATACCTCCTTGATGGGGTTCTGGGAGTTCTTCTCCCCTTCTTGTTATCTATAACTTGATTATAATTCACTGTGTCGGGGGGACAGGAAGCCAGAGTGTATTCATGCACTTTAGGCTTTTATCCAGGTTCCCCCCCCCCAAGGTTCTAATTACTGACCCCGCCCAGGATGCCGCCCCACAACAAGCTGATTAACTCCTGAGTACCTACTTGCTGCTAGGTGAACAGACGCATTAAATGAAAGGAAATGTGGCTAACCATTTCTGCCCCGCTCGGGATTCGAACCCGATTGCCACGGGAACTGCCTGCATGCGAGGTGAAGTAATAGTCAACAAGGGAACTACACCATTCATAGCCTGGAGCAGACTACGAATTCCGATGGAAGTGGTGTGGATGTGTTGAGCCGGCCATTTACACATGTTAAACCTCTCTCTCATACTTTGTTGCCTTGTGATCGATTATGACAAACCGACCGCCTCGCTAAGTAATATTAGTGCCTGCTACGGGTGTCGAGTTGAACAACCAGATGGTTTGCACTGACAGGTCGTTAGCCCAGTGTGATAGTGCCCAGTTAGTTGTGTGTATGGTGTAGCAAGTATATTATTGGGAGAATCTACTCGCTACAGATCTGTAGCGAGTAGATTATCCCAATAATATACTCGCTCCACTGGTTTATAGTAATTGAACACTGAAAAGTACGTGTGGGATTATCACACGTGTCACTCAAGTGACAAAACCACTAGAGTAGGCCAAGCTTCATTCTGCCCTGAGAGTTCACTTTGAACAGATGTGCATCATGTTAATAATGGTCAAATTAGTGCCAATCACCTTGTAGAAACCCCTAAAAATGTTAAACTCGCTATGCTTGCATTCAACCTGACTGCCGATCGTTTACAGAATTGCGACTGCGTAATTAACTTGATTCTAAGTCGGAATAGTGACAAAGTAGAGATATATACAACCACGTGACCACTGATCAGGAGTAATAATAGACTGAAGTCCAGTGCGATCGGATGTAATCTGTTCCATCCACTTATAAAGTGAAGGGTTGAAGTTATCAGTGATAAACAGTCTTGTTTGATTCCCGAAAGATCTGGAGTTTTGTAGAGTAAAACCCGTCCTCGAGTGCCGTGCTATCCACATTGTATGTCAAACAAGCCGCCGTGGACCCTTTCAGCCCCGCGCTCCGAGCTGCCGCGGGCATTGATTCCATTACAAGAACGCCCGGCCATCCGTCTCACTCCCATCACGCACGTTCCTTAGGACTGCCACCTGCTCCGCCGCACGAGTCCCCTTGAAAGGACACCACAAGAACACAATAAGATCCAGCATCTTGTCCGAGTGAATCTCTCATGTTCAACCACATGAGGCAGTGCTTCAGATTGACAAGAAACCGCTATCTACCTATCCCAGATCTCACGATTGATTGATTGATAAGGATTAAGCCACCCAAGAGGTGGTACGGGCATGAATAGCCCGTAAGTGGTGGCCCTTTTGAGCCATTACCAGTATCAAGAGCTGATACTGGTGATCTGTGGAGGTGCGACTGCACCCTGCGTGACGGGAGATGTCTCCCGTGCCAGATCTCACCTGCAGGGGGTTCTTAAGAGATTTTCCTACTCCTCAAGCCTGGGGCCCACGAGCTCAAATACCCTGAGCCCGTGTCAGGGCAGCCTTTAGGCAACCCGTTCTCGCAAATTTAATAAGTCAATATTGACTTATTAGTTGCGTGCATAGGTGACATACTAAACATAATAGTTTCCCTTGAAAAGCTTCATAGAAAACACCGACCTTACCTAACCTACTTAGTATGTTAAAATAAGCATCTTATAGCTTCGTAATTACAATTGTTACTTAACCTATTATAGGTATAGGTTAGGTAATAATTGTAATTACGAAGCAATAAGATGCTTATCTTAACATACTAAGTAGGTTAGGTAAGGTCGGTGTTTTCTATGAAGTTTTTCAAGGGAAACTATTATGTTAAGTATGTCACCTATGCATATATTTAATAAGTCAATATTGACTTATTAAATTTGCGAGAACGGGTTGCTTTAGGTCATCGTCTAGCTGTATATATATATATATATATATATGTTTTCATGAATTAATGTTTTTTCGTCTACCTAACCTACCTAACCTAACCTAACCTAGCTTTTTTTGGCTACCTAACCTAACCTTACCTATAAATATAGGTTAGGTTAGGTAGGGTTGGTTAGGTTCGGTCATATATCTACGTTCATTTTAACTCCAATAAAAAAAAATTGACCTCATACATAGAGAAAAGGGTTGCTTTATCATTTCATAAGAAAAAAATTATAGTAAATATATTAATTCAGGAAAACTTGGCTTATTAGGCAAATCGGGCCTTGAATAGTAGGCTGAGAAGTGAGTTCTGGCTACTAGGTACGACATATATATATATATATTTATATATATATATATTTATATATATATATATATTTATATATATATATATTTATATATATATATATATTTATATATATATATATTTATATATATATATTATATATTTATATATATATATATATATATATATTTATATATATATATATATATATTTATATATATATATATATTTATATATATATATTTATATATATATATATATTATATATATATAATATAGATGAATGTGTTAATTTGCCGTGTGTTGATCTTGGTGATAGTAGTTTTAGATTCAGCTACTCTATAAACAAAAAGTTTCAAGTAGCACGGGCTATGGCGAGCCCGTAGTGGACTTAACTGGCACAGGAGAGGGGTGGTAACTGACCGATCTTGGTGATTAGCCAACTGATCAAGTCTCTCCCGCCCAAACAGGTGAAGGGGTTGACCGACCAAGGTTACCCGCAAGTGTCAAGAAGATTACCTACACGGGAAAAACGTAGGAAATGTATATGTTTATCTCTCAGAATGTTCGGTAATATGTTTATTGTTTGTGATGTGTGTCTATGTATGTATTAACACGATGTACTGAACGGGGTGAGAATAGCTTGAGCTACCTCATCCCTTTGTGTGTATTTTACCTCAATAAACTTATTTCAATTTCAGGAAAGCCGCTGGACACATCCTAGGTATAAACGGATTAATATACACCACACATTTATTGTCTCAAGTGATGTGTGATTAATTACTGTACTATTGATTTCTGTGACCTTGTCTGTATTTTATAGTGTCATTGATTGTGTTATTGTGCATGTCATGGTATTGTTGTATACTGCCCGAGTGTCCTGTATGGGACGCCAATCACTGCCCCTTGATACTGCAATTGTCGATACACAGTAATTGCCAGGGTGTTCACTAGTGTTCAATCGGTTAACAATTGGCCCGTGCAAGGGGGGTAGAAACCGAGTCTCCTCAGACTAGCGCCGAGGGAACTATTCCTGCTATGTATGGTTGCATAGTTTTGTTGTGACAAAGTCAATCGCCCTGTGTATTACTAAGTTTATTGAATAAACCTATTATCGGTACCAGTCTTTTTCCGTCAGCATTTACCTAAGTACTGTCCATAGAACTCCATACACAGAGTTGCAGACCAGACAAGCCTATGTATATAAACCTACTTTCCGCCTTTCATTGCTCATGTATGTTCAATAATTTATTAGCTTAGAGTTCACCGGTAATTGGCAAGTTATTCTAAATCACATGACGGGATATAGTTCTGATTAATTATGTTCAAATAAATCTTCAGTTAACTTCAGTTGGGACTAGCGCCCCTGGCGGTGTTGCCAGACATTGCGATATTTCACGATTGTTGCCAAAGTCTACTTTCATTTCATTATGTCATTTATTAAATTTTAAAATATTCTTTTATTCTGACGTTCCGCTATGATAAAAACGAAGAAATCAAAACGGGAACCATATATATATAACATTCGAACCACCTTACAGAAATAAATTGAAACGTAAAAGACGTGGGATTTTTTTTTTTTTTTTTTTGCAGGGATATTCCTGCGCGGGCCCTAGGCCTCTGGCTGGCTCACTAAGTGTTGCTTGTTTCTGTTTTACTTGGGCGGAGGATGAGTATTTATGACTCTTATGGTCGCTTCAGTAAGATTTTGCCATATGTGTTTAACAACTTCTGCTCTGTTGAATCTAAGTTGAAATCTTAATGGGTTTGTAACTGTGCACTGTGTTAGATAATGTTCCAGTGGTCTGTCGGACATTTCTCCACAGTGTTGACATTTCCTCTCATCTTCCGGAACCTGTAAGCCTATTTCCCATGCACATGGGTATCCAAGCCTGATGCGATGTAAGTGCACCTCTGTTGCTCTACTGCTCCCTTTCATCAAACTAAATGCCCGCCAAATACACACCGAAACTACGACGTTGGTACAACGTTCGAACAAGTTTTAACACCTCCTAACCAGTTATAACAACCAATATAGCAAGTTGTAACAACGTTCTAATACGTCATAAACACGTTAAGTCAAGATGTAACAACTTTATTACAAGTTGTAGCAAGCGGAAAATAGAGGCAGTTTCGGTTTGTGTTTCCAGGGTTGTTCGTAGTTGGTTGAATTCTTGTACCAACCCGAGATGACGTGGGGATAATCACGTTGGAAGACCTTTTAACGAACTCAAGTAGCTGTCACAACTGTCGGAGATGACAGGCTGGAAAACAAGAA